GAATTCCCCAGCTGGGGAATTCTGGGAGTTGAAGTCCACACACCTTCAAGTTGCCAAGGTTGAGAAACACTGGTGTAGACCATTCTGATAAACCCTGCACACAAATCTTCCAACCACAAGGACTAGAAACACTGCTTTAAAATAGAAGCTGAGCTTCTCAAGCTGCTGCATCGTGCAGCTAGTAGCCATCTTCCACCCCAGTCCTCCCATGGCCATACTAATTTCTAACTGAACTGAGTGACAGCCGTAACTCTTCTTCTCTTGCTGCAGCTCCAGTAGCTTTTCCTTCTTCGCAACGCTCCAACTTTATCCTACCTTAAAACTCTCTCCAGCATAAAGGTTTCTTGCTTACACACGGGGAACTGTCACCAAGAAAATCAGAGCTGACGTATGAAAAAAAAAACACCCCCAGAAAAATATTATGCCTGGCAACTAGCAACCGAAATAAATTTTTAAAAAGCCGTCACGCTATATTGTCACAATACCATTAATGAGAGGGGAAATAAAATGCAGGGAATGCTATCAAAGATAAAACAGCGAAATCACAACCAGTCAAAGAAAGCAGAACTGAATGTGATTGCAAGCGTGTCTTAAATAGTCCGGTTTCAGCTTCAAGCTGGAAAGAAAGAGATCTAAATTACTATTTGGGTTTTCAAAAAATAAAAACATTGTCATCTGATGGGAACAATCAGACTCTAGTCATCTTATAAGCCAAGTAGCTTTAAACATACTCTCACCAAGAATGGGGTAACCCCTTTAATTTTCTTGCGCTGATCTAACTGGAGTTCCTGAGCTGCCCTAGAGAAACGGGCCAGTTCCAAGCTCTGATGAACAAGCAAACATCCTCCTCCTCCAATACCCTGTCTGAACATTTCTCTTTCAGACTGATGGAGGCAGGTGAGAAATCTTGGGCCAGACACGTTCTGCAATGGAATTGTAGATTTACAGCCACTGACAACTGGACTGGTCTCAGATGTTTTTCTCCAGACTAGGCTAGTCCTGCTCTCTTGTCACGGTTTACCAAATATAATTACCAAAAAAAGGTCCTGGCCAGGGCCAGCACCATCCTGCTGTTTATTCCAACAAGGTGGTAGAACCAAGTTTGGTTTCAAGAACAACGTGAATTTCAAACGGCCCAGTGTTTTTATTAATCAAATGTATTTATTAATCCAATTTATACGCCGCCCATCTCACTGTATAAGCGACTCTAGGCGGCTTGCAAATGAAAAAAGCGGTAAAAAACAGTAAAAGTCTTTACACAGGCTGAAAAGACGGAGAGAGCGTCCTCGGTGTTGGGAGTTCCAGAGTGACAATCAAAAGAACAGGGAGCAGATTGACAGCTTCCCCAGAGGCCCGTCTGCTACTGCCTAGGCAGACAGCAAAGACACATTCCAGCAGAGAATTAGCGAAGATGGTGGAGGATTTCTAACCAGCAGAGAGGGAAAATGTTTGCTTTGAGGGCTTCTGAAGGTTTCTGGTTCAATCCATGACCTCTTCGCTGCCAAAACGAGGGGTCAGAAAGGAAGCGATTGAACAGGTCTAGAGAACTATTGTGAGTTAAGAGAAACCTGGACCCCAATGATGGGGCCCATGGATGCTCCTTCAGCACTCACCATAGCCCTGCTCCATTGGCATTTAGCATTTTAAAAAGGTTTTCATTTTAAATCTGAAGGTTGCCTGTTGCAAAGTGAGACTGACCCACAATACCAGCTTCTAGCATCACCTTTATTTGCAAGAATGCTTCTGGGTCTTGAGTAAGCTCTAGATGCATTTTTAGAAAGTAAAAATTGTGGCTATCTACACGCCCTTGTTTAAAAATGTGTCCAGAAAAACCAACAAAAGTAGGCAGGGATAATACAGAGCATTCTGGTGGCCAGGAGAGACTAGGAAGAATTTTCATCAATTTTTTTTTTTTTTTTTTGGTTCTTACTACTCTAGTCTATTGTCCGACCCTGCAGTGACTGC